TTTTCTCTTGTTTTTGAGGCTGGCTTCTGAGTTTTCCAAGAAAATTACCGAAAAAGGAAATTTTTTTAAGGAAATTTGGGATCAGCGGAAAAAGAAAAAGTATCAAGAGTTATACAATATACTGTAACTAAAAGAATATATAATAATTTGAGACTTATTATAAGTTATAATTAGAATGCAGATATATATAAAATTAATACTAAAAAAAAAACAATGGGCAAGATATTAAATCCAAGTAGATGATAAGTACTTTAAATAGTTACAAAAAACTAATTAAATTATCAGATGAATAAGTTCTTCAAATAATCAGGAAGAAAAGGAATATCTCAGAAAGATTGATTTTTAATAAAAAAAAATTTCTAGTAAAGATTTTTTGAAGGATATGAAATTTTTTTATTCTTTATTTTCTCTTTATATACTGTATGTATATTTGTATATTTTTCTTTTTTCTTTTTTCTATTGTAGTTTTTTAAAATCAATTTCTTGAAAGATAATAGATAATAATAATCTATTGACAATAATAAATAAATTAAAAGATATTTATTCAAAATTTATTCTGAAGTAAAATATTATTCTCAACATTGCATCATTACATATGGAGATTTAAACTTATTTGAGAATTGATAACTATTAATAAATAAGTCAACATAAGATTTAATTTGGTCATGATATAATTGTTCAATATAATTCTATTAGTTTTCTTAAAAATTAATAAACATACTATGTTAATCTGATATGAGTAATTAAAAAAAAAAACCAAATAAGAGATATATAAATTATTTTTATTAATTATAATTATATATTAAATAATATTCATTAGTTGAAAAATATCTATTTAATATAATAATACTTATATAACTAAAGATAAGTCCCTAACGGGGGAGATAAGGACAAAAGTCAATATTTCTTACTAATAAACATTAAAATTTTTAAATTAATAAGAATAAAAAAACTACCTATAATTGTTTTTGATTATCCAAATCATTGATTTATAGTATTTCCTGACTTTTGTTTCTATTAAAGTAAAAAGATATGAATTTTGTTTCTAAAAAAGAAATATAAGTAATTTGCAAAATTTTATATAATAAATACTTTAAGGACTTATCATTAGTTACATTATATGTTCCAATAATATCATTGATGAAACAAAGAGAAATTATTGATATGAACTTCTCTACTTCTTTAAATGAAATATAACTGAAGCAAAAAAATCATAAAGCTATTAGGATAGGTACTAAATTCTCTAGATGATGAAAAAATGGTTGTTTATTTAAACTAAGACCTTTAACTTCTTATTATTCTGATTAAGCAAAGTATATGAAAAAGATTATTTTTTTATCCTGGTCAGACTGTAAAACTGAAAAGTAAAGAAATATAAAACTCTGTTCTTTTTTAAAATTGAAAATATATTTTTCCAAATGTTATGTAATAATATTGCAATCAAGATAAACATCAATAAAATTTTTTTAACTAGGTATAGTTATTAAAAAATATTAAAAGTTACAAAATAAGATTGAAAAGCTATATAAGAATCTAGGATTTATTATTAGTCTTTTTTTTTTACATAGGTAAATATAAAATCAAGATTCAAAGAAAGGAAACATTAAGCAAAACACTGGATTTGAGTAGCCGATAAGTACCTTTAATGATTACAAGAAAATAATTAAAAATACAGATGGATAAGTTTTTTAGATGGTTAGGAAGAAAAAGGATATTCCAAAAGAGTTGACTTCTAATGAAAAAAGGTTTTTAGTGTAGATCCTTTGAAGGATATGAAGTACTTTTATATATTTTTTTCTTCTTAGTTTTTATGCGACACAATTATATATTTTTAGATATATCTTTTCCTTTTATTTTCTCTTTTTCTTTTTTGTAGTTTTTTGAAATTAGTTTCTTGAAGGATAATAAGAGTGATAATCTGCTGACAATTATATATAAATTAGAAGAGTATTTATATAAAATTTACTATGGAGCAAAATATTGTTTTTAAGATTGTATTTAGAGGTTGAAGCTTTTTTGAGAATTAAAACAATTGATAAGTAAGTTAGCATGAGTTTTAGTTTAGTTATGATGCAATTGCGCTATGTATTTCTATTAATTTTTATATTGATTAATAAACATATAGTCTAGTCTGACTACTGGTTTAAAAATAATAATAATAATAATTAGTTTTAAATTTTTATTTTAATTTAAATTATTTTTATTTTAATGTTTTTTTTATTATAATTTTTTAAAGATTTGATAAATAAAAAACTAATATATTTTGATTTTAAATATTTTTTTATTAAAATTTTAATCAAATTGTCTTGATATAGATTCTTCTTTATATTTTTTTTCAATAATTGGTTCTTTTTAAATTTATTTAAAAATATGAAAAAAAATTTTTTTTAATTAGATTTTTGGTTTTTATAATATTTTTATAATATTGAAAATAACAATTTCTTAATATATGCATATATAATATATAGTATTTATTTTAAATAAATGTTACAATTATTATTGTTTTTTTTTTTTTTTTTAATAATTGAGAAAAGATCTTATTTATATTTTATCCATAAGTATATAAATTATTTCTTATATCTTAAATTTTTTATTTTATTTTTGTGATAGTTTTGAATAATCAGATTTTTATTTTTTCTAACTATTAATAGATCAATTTCTTATTAATTTCTTAGTTGTATTCTTATCCAATTTCTTTTTAATTCAAAAAATTATTCTGATCTAGATCATTTAGTAATATTTTACATTAGCTAAATTATTTTTTATTCTTTTATATTACTTATTTATTGTTTTCAAAGTTGATTTAGTAACATCAACCATTGATTTGAAGTGAAAATATTGTTTTGCAATATATCTCATTTTCAATATATAATTTTATTAAAGTATTATTTTTTTTTCTATTTGAAAATGTTGCACCATTTTTGACTTTTGAAGAATATGCATATTTCTTTGATAGTTATTAAAATGTTGAGAGCAATGCTTTCTCTGTCTGAAATATGGGTTAGTAATTCTAATGTTAAATATTATACTAATATAATTGTAGACCAAATATATTATACTGTATATTAAAAACAAATGATTTGTTGAAAATTAAATAAAATTATATAATGTATATAGTAATTTAAATAATATTGAATAATTAAATATATTTTTTTAAACTTTGATTTGATTCACATATATCATATTAATTATTCAACTGTATTGCATTATGGCAGTACACAAATATACAGTGCGCATATATTGAAACCAAAAAATAATATTTTTGATCACACTTTTTATTTTTGAAAATAAACGAAATTTCTATTCACCAACTGAAAAAAAACTCATGACCACATATATGTTAGGAATACATTAACGGTGTGCTGCATTGAAGCTGTTCATGTATGTAATCCTCAGTTACGAGTAGCTATCATGTGCACCCAGAGCTTGATATAATATGTAGGTTCCATCCGGCCAAATTAAAAAACTATAATTATTCTCGCCGCTCATGAAATAACCATGTTCTTGCTTATCCCAGGATATTGGTGAGTCTCTGAATCCGAAAACGCTAATAATAGCCCAAGGCACATCAAGTCCCCTGATAAATACATGTAAACAAACTTAGAGTGATGTTTAAATGTGATAACAAATTGAATTGCGTATTGCAGGAAACATACGAAACAAGTTTGAATAGAGACAAAACTTCTGCAGAAGGAATGAAACCTGTCCGTCGTAAAATCGTCACATTTCCGGTTTTGCTAGGTTCCGGGGGTGAATATATGGAGATGTAGGGGTCAACACGATCATGCGACAAAAGCCTTTAATTATATTGAAGATATCAGGAAGGATGACGGAGAGATCCTAATTCCAATGATAATTGTTGAATTCGTTACCTTTGGGCTTTGAGAGATGCCAATCCAATCCAATCATAAATTTCCACCGCATCTGATCTCCACCGATCCTCTCGCGTCATATTCTTAATAGAGTCCATTTCCGGGATTGAAATATCGCTCAAGATTTCAAGTCCTTGATCAACCGTCAACCTCTTGGCATTGAAAGTTGGCGGAAAGTTTATCTCTTGAGATTCACGTGAATCTATTCAAGGTGCGTGTGTAATATATAAACCATCATTATTCGCGTAGGATGGATAAAACGATGATCACAAAGCACATACTCAGGTTCGTGAACGAGATAAGTAGAGAAAACGGTTGGGTCAGCGTATTGTTGAAACACCATTTAACGCGTTCGAAGCCTTTTTTCCCAGGTACCATCGATTTTTCCAATAAATCAACCTTCACCACTATGATTAAAGTAAACAAATCAAAGTCACTATTGATGACGAGAGACAGGTTGAACATCGCTAGTTACCAAATCGTTGCGGCTTTGACCCAAACTCTGACGGTTTTCCACTTAATCCAAGTCGTTCATAAGCATCCTTGGTTAGATTTAGCGTCAAAATTCCTATTTGAAAAAACTAGCGATTCGTCATAGCAAATTCACGATTTATTTCATTTATTCACGAATATTTCATATCACCAAATGATGCTTGTCACTTGTAATTACCGGAGTTGTCGAGAGAGATGACATCTTCTACGTCAATGCCTTCGCCCAAACTTAAAGCAATAACGCGACCTATGTTTCGAACGATATGCCTATATCATTATGGAAAAAGCTTTAATATCGGAGGAAAATTGAGCTTGATTATATGCCTACCGCTTTTGACATAGTTCTGCACAAAAGAACGTTCAATGAAATAGGACAGAGGCATCTCTGCCTTGTAATAAAGAATTTCATTTGAAAATTGTTTCGACTGTTGAGGTGAAATGGGAGAGGGAATGAGGAGTTCCAAGTGATGATTGAAAGGATGACCGGTGATAATTTTCTCATGTCTCGAATTCGGGGAATTTGTTGTAGAGCGTGAAACGTAAAGTTTTGATTTAACTGGCTCGGGCAACGAGAATGCCATATTCGTGAATTAAAAGAGAAGGAAAGACACGCATGCATGCGTGTTATGCACCTTGATGTTACACGAATTAACAATAAGCTCGGATTATCCAAAACGGTAATTTATGATCAATAATGTCTTCGTCCACCGTTACAGTGGTGTCAGCTCCCGGCAAAGTTTTAATCATTGGCGGATATTTAATCCTTGATAGATTATATCAAGGTTTAACTATCGGAACGGACGCTCGTTTCTACACTGTCATTAAAACCGGAAATGGTCGCTCGAAGATCACAGTTCACTCTCCACAATTCAACGACGCAACCTGGGAATATCAGATTAACGACTCTGGTCAAGTCGAAGCAATGTAAATTATAAGCAATGAGGACTTCTCGATCCCTACTTCTTCTAAGCCGTTCATTAACTTCAGCAACTAAATGTTTTTATAGAAACAAAGGCAGTCGAAATTCCTTCGTTGAAATTACTGTCAAGTACAGTCTCTCAGTTATTGCAACCCGAATTCTAGGCCAAAAATTTAACGAAATAGTCAACCAAGGATTAGAGATTTATATTGTTGGTAGTAATGACTTTTATTCGCAAAGGGGACAGGTAATTAGACGACATTTTCGATTTTATTATTCTACTACTTGACACTGTAATAATTAATACATATACACTCGTCATCAATTTCGGGGGGGTTTTTTTTCCTTCTTCCCTTTTCCCCTTATTCAAAGCTGAAAGATCTTGGATTGCCCTTGAAAACTTCCTCGTTGCGTTTGCTCACTCCCTTCAATAAAACCAACACGACCTTAAAACAAGTCCATAAGACTGGTCTCGGTTCGTCGGCATCGTTGATAACTTCACTCGTGGCTGCTTTACTAATTCGTTTTCAATGTGTCGATAATATTGAAAATCGACATCAGAAAACATTAATTCACAATGTGGCTCAAGTGTGCCATTGTCTGGCCCAAGGAAAAGTCGGTTCTGGGTTTGACGTCTCCTCGGCAGTTTGGGGAAGTCACGTGTATAAAAGATTTTCCCCCGAGATTTTGAATCCGATTGTTCAAGATGAGGTTAGGAAATTAAAAACAACATTCCTCTTCGCATTTACAAACTTTAAAAGATTATCTTCGATTATTAGGATAACGTGGATGGTGAAATTGTTAATAGAATCGTTGATCCCGCCTCTGGCAGGTAAGTGCAAGTGCGCAGAAATTGTTTATCAACTCTCGTTCCATTTATGCTTCTTCACACGTGTTATTGAAACATTAGTTGGGACAATGAAGTGGTGTCAACCGCTCTTCCACCACGATTCACTCTAATTGTGGCCGATGTCGATGTTGGATCCAATACTCCAAGCCTGGTTGGTAAAGTTATAGCATGGCGGAAAGCCAATCCCGAACAAGGTATTATTCAATTACAGGGCAGAAGGTTTCACAACCCTGAATGACCATTTCGGATGAGAAGATTTGTCCTGATGTTAATTATTCTTTTTCTAAAAACCATTAGCGAAAGTTTTATGGGATACGCTTGCATCTCACAATTATACAGTTATCGATAGTCTACGTGAATTGGTCAAGGAGTATGAGGACAACAAATTAGGATACGAAAAGGCGATGGAAATTTGTTCCGATGTAAAAGGGACGGAGGTAGGTTTTACTGATATCGCGACCTGCAATCTGAATCATGTGTTCCTATTTCCCGCTAATGTGTTAACTTTGAAATTTAAAGTGGACAACCCAAGCCGAACAAAAGACTTCGTATTCTAATATTTTCGGTATACTCGTCAAGATTTTTCAAACATTCAAGGTGTATATTTGTATTATGCTTATTATGATATTGCGATTTTGATTTTATTTTGATTATTTCGTGTCACCATGTTTGTAATTTCATTCTCGTAGAAAATCAGACAACTCTTGCGCGATATGTCAACCTTTTCTGGTGCACCAATAGAACCTCCAGAACAAACAAGGCTACTTGATGCGTGCGCAAAAGTTCCCGGGGTCATCATGGCCGGCGTACCGGGCGGTAAGTGAGCATTGCAGTTTTAAGTTGCTCTTTCGCCGCCCCCGATCGTTAATTCCTCAATACTTCGACTTTCGTTTATGCACCATAAAGCTGGGGGATATGACGCGATTTTTTGTATAGGCATCGGAACAAAGTTTGTTGAAAAGGTCGAGGATCTTTGGTTTAATTGGGAAGAAATGAAAGTTGGACCTCTCTTGGCAAATGAATCTTCCGAAGGATTAAAGGTCGAAAATTTGAATGATGTAAAAGGTTTGATCAATGTAACATCTTAAACCGTGACTTTATGTTGACAATACCAAAGAAACCCATTTAAATTTGGGCGAACATTAAAAATCTAATTTATAAGTCAGTATACAAATATTTACTATCAATTGTTAAAATTTTTCTATATCAGATTTATTTAAAAAATAAATTCCTTATCTTCGAGATATCATTTTATCACTATAAGGAATTTACATATCTGTTCTGCGAATCACACCATATTTGCCTATTCTGCTAAAGTCCGAGCCTATCGTATCATTTTGCAATTGTCTCAGGACCCCCTACATCATCTTTTTCTTTTTTGAGAGATCAGATCTAGTAATCCCTTATCGATATGGAAAATTCTGGGTCGATCAACAAAACTCAGAGATCAGGAGATAATTTAAGGAATTCATATAAGTACAAGTCAGTGCCTTCAAATCCCTCAACATCTCAAAAAGAAAATACAAAAATGGTTTTGAAATACGGATATGCTATCGGTAAGTTATTCGGCTTGGGGTCTCAGGAAATTCGAGAAATGTAGATGAACTAAAAGGTGAATGCCTTTTTGTAGGTGAACAAGTTGGCAACATGACGATGACCGCTGGGAGGTTGGTCACTCCTGCAAGAATGCCGGATGTCATTAGCCTGTCGGTCGTAAATTCTTCGACATTCTTGGTTTTTGGGACAAAGCCAGGTAATTTTTTATAATAGCATACAAAAAAAAAAATTTTATCACGGTGTCACTTTCGCCAATAAAAAATAACAATCGTTCCATTAATTCCTTCCTAAAGAAATACTTGAATGGCTTCGCACCTATTCGCATGTCAGACTTGAGGTTACGCTGTTCGATGACAGAAGCGAAGCACCGCACGTGAGCATTCCAGACGTCGTGGTCGATCTCTTGCCGGCCTTGGATAGTTCTGGTAATCCTCGCCGCAGGTCGCTCATTAATTACCTAATTCCGACCTATCACCCTGACCCATCAAGCGAAGAGGTTCACCTTGAATTTCGTCCGGTCAATCATAAAATTGACGAAAACATCGAACCCTATTTTCGCATTATCGTGGAGAGAGGTTCAACCTTTGGGGAGATAGTTGACGAAATATCGACCAAATGGGATTCGGTCACCTATCCTAGCCTATGGGATAATTTCAAGAATATCGCCTCCTTCACTCCCCCAAGCTCTTCCTCTCCATCCTCTCCCACTTCTCCCACCCAATCTCATCATAATTCTCTTAGCACTGTGGTAGTCGATCAGAAATAGCCACACCAAGAACTCATAATGAAAAATGTTAACGACCGTTCTATTTTTCGAGCGCACTTCTTTTTCCTACCAAATAATAATTATTATTGAGCTGTATTGTAATTCTAAACACTGTATGTATATCGTAAAAAAAAACATTAAATACAATTGCTTTATTTTATTTTTATCTTTGATTAATTTTTGTCGGCCCAATTTAAATTTACATTGTTTTGAACTTTGATTGTCGACATCGTTTGAGGGAAAAGGAAAACGTGATTTTTCGTCATTCGATTCAGCTTTGAATCGATCAATCGTCGTCTTCGAGTGATCATTAAAAAAAAAAAAAAAAAGGAAGAAAATGTCCAAGTAAAATTGAAGCATGATCTTGAGAGAGGAAAAAAAAAAAAAAGATGAATAAAAGAAAAGGTTAAATTGTTTATATAAACAAAAAAAAAATATATAATAGAATTTTATAAAGAAAACAAAAAAGGTGTGTGTGTACATATTAAAAACGGGAAGTACAAATATGTATAAGAAAGCCAGAAAAGATGCTCATTTGTGAGGTTTAAACCGTGAGGTGTTTTGATTGATAACGCATGATTTCTCTCAAGGCTGCACAGCGAATGTCATAAACTTGTTAAAAAACAATGTAAGGTAAAAAAAAAAAAAAAAAAGGAAAAGGGTAGTGAGATATATCTAATGAATGAAGAGAACGAATCTCAATCGCTTGAAGAAATGATGAAGTATCTATGCATCCAGCTTGGAAACCCTGCCACCTTGTGTCTAATCCTAGTTCCTCTTTCAAATTCACCTCCTGACCCTGTACACGATGTTATCTGACTTCATCCGATTTATCATATGCTAATTCAATTTTTAATATCTACCTGAAATTCCCAACGTCCTTCAAGCAATCCCTTTGCAGTATCCTCCAACACCACCTCCCTTCGACTAGCCACATACACCGTCTTATCTAAGACCTGTTGTTTCAATTCGGCAATCTTCTCGGCCTCAATGGGTTTCTCCAACAACTCGGAAAGAAGCTCAACAGCCATCTCGAGATCTCGTTGATTGTCCTCAAAAATTTCGGTCTGATTGTTGCGAGCGAGGTAGAATGCGAAGGCGTACGTCCACTTTAGGGTCATACGGCATTGGACAAGGATGTCCACGGCCTTCTTGAGGAATTGAACCTCGATCCAAGACAGATCAGAGGTCTGTTGCATTTCCTCCATTTTCTTTTCGGTCTTATTATAGAGTTCACGATCAAGCTTGGCCGATTGTTCATGATTAGCGAACCGATTATAATACTAAGAGCGGTGGCAATGATGAACACGCGAATCACATATGGGATAACGTACATACATATGTTTATACATGACATATATGTGCATAGAATATAGTTTATTCATCATTAGGCGATCGTTGCTAGAAAAGGAAACACGAAGAAAGTGATATAAGTTGAACACACGTACATGGAGGTATCGTTCCAAGGACGCACGGGATTTGGCTTGCTGATCCCTGGCATCTTGACTACTCTTTTCGTCATATCGATTACAATTGTACCAACTGGTTCCATGTTCTGACCAGGGACCCATGCAGACCCAGCAAAATTCATATTTGCATTTGCGGCAGGTCATATGGTTACACCCACCATTCTTTTCAATGGTCGAATGACATTTCCCACATTCCTTTGTATGCGCCGAAATCCAATTGGCTGTTTCGGAGTCGTCTTCACATTTTTTAATCCACTTTTTCACCAGCATGCAGATGGACGGTTGATGATCCGGTAATCCGCAACCGAAGCAAAATCGATGAGAACAAACGCATTCGACGGTTGGCACGATACTTGTGAGAGAGGTCTGTGGAACATGACATTCGACCGCATATTCACAACTAGGCGCCGGACACCATCTTAAGTATTCGTTATCGTCCACATAGGTTCGATTCAGCAGAGTGCGATATCTGTGTTGTGGAGTATTCAAACACATACACATTAATAAATAAGCAAATAAAAAATCATGTACTCAATACAATTAATTATACCTCTCGTGTATGTCCTTATTGACCGCCAGTTCAACGGTCGATTCATCAACAATCACATTACAATTGTTAGCCATGCATAATATCCTGCGGCTCTCCCCTTCCTCTTTGATCTTCTGTGTCAAGTAATGTTCGTAACAATTGCGACAAAACCTGTGACCACACGACAGGGCCAAGGTTTCCAAATCGTTGTCATCATCGCAGCAAATTTCGCACACGAAACCAGGCACCCTCACAAATTTGGGCACCCTAGAATCGTCGGTTATCACACCGGCTTTTTTCAAGACATCGTCCGAGTTGTCCATGTAACGTTCGATAAGTCTTTCCTTGTTCCAACGAAAATGTCGGAGCAAAGTTGCTGCATGTTGCTTTTGAATGCCAAGAATGCTGGACACATGAACGACCTCTTCATCCTGCTTTTTAACGATACCTTGAATAGGATGAACTATGAATTCCACCTCGTAACTCTTCTTTCGATCCTTTTCTGCGACAACGTCTGTAAAGTTAAGTTCGGTATCGTCCTCGACTTCGTCGTCGTCGTCTTCGACTTCTGGCTCTTCGTCTATTATTCGATTAATTTGTCATATTATCAGAGGCAAAATGGTATATAGAATAAGAAACCATGCAGTTGCACTGGTTATTGCGCAGTAATTTGTTAAGCGATCAATAGAGAAGAGGGCTTTATTCCGCCAAAATTTTACCTGACTCTCGATAGGAATCATCATACATGAGATCATCGTCAGACGGCTCCGACATTGTTTCAATCTTGCGTTTTTTATACTTTGGGGACGACGTCTTGTCCGTTGAAGCTCAGAAATAACAACAAAGTTTCTCACAACTAAAATTTCCTACAAGCCAATGCAGGAACACTTTGGTTTTATTCTTCAGAGGATAATTTCAGGACGTACGGCTCACAGTACGATGACGAGACAGAGGTTAAAATTTCCTAGGCGAAGTTTAGGCTCCCTTATATAAAAGAAGATCTCGGGGTGCATTTCCATCACATGACATTTTTTATTTGCTGCGCGTGTGTATCACGTACTACCAGTACATATGTTAAAATTCGAATTATTATATTTTATAAAAGATTAATATCTTTTTGTTTTTTTGTTCTTTTTCCTTTTTTTTTTTTTTTCTGTATCGGAATCGCATCCTTACCATTTTGATCTGAGGTAACAATCAACTCTTTCCATTAATGGTTCATATGTAACTATCAGACTATCAATTTTCCAACTGAATCATCTTGATTTTTTTTAAAATTCCAGCCGCTTATGCGGCGCAGTAGCATACTACATTTTGCAACCATTTGTTTTTATGCGGATGTACCCGAGACTTATTATCTTACATTGATTGACAAAAAACTACCGAACGAGTGCAACAACCAACTCCGAGAGGAACTCCACCTCTCATCTAATCCGTGAGGCTTCGGGCGGCCCAATCTTTCATTGCCGAAGAACATTGCGGATTTGTGGTGATGGCCTCTTTAATCTGTTCTGGCAGAATCAGCGACTTCATCATTCGGTATTGCTTCGGTTGCGATTTACCCTCGTCGATTCGTTGCAAGAATCCTCGTGACTGCAAAAATTCGAATTCGGCGAGAGCAACGTGTTCTTTGCACACCTTCATTCGGAAGTTACTACCCGACTTCCTCGTGCACGCCTTCATGTAATTCCGGTACTCGTCGTAAACCATGATGAAATTAAACACCTGACAGTCCCGGAAAAACAACGAGTTGATGGCGAGCAACAACCAAAATTGGTTCTGAGTCAATCCTACCCAAATATTCACGAGAGGTTCGGTTAGCTGATTAAATGTACGACATGTGTAACAATTATTATTATGTTATATTTGAATCGTTCGTCATTCTACCTGTCAATAGCTGAGTGGCGTCCGTCGAATGTCGCAGGATTGACTGTTTGAAATCATCCAATGTAAGGAATGGTGTGTCTACCGTCAACCTATCAACAGGATTGAACTTGATAATACAACAAATTTATTCATGAGGTCTTGCATGCAATTTCCTAGGGATCATCACATGGGCAATTATACTTACGCATATTTTGTAAAAGTTCCTTATGAAATCCGTCGAGTTATTAAATATTTGATGTATAATGGATTTAAAAGATTCCTCTTCGAACAGACCCTATGAAATATTTCAACAACAATTCCCAGTAATGGTATACAAGGGTAAGGGTGTGCGCATAAAGATACACGTATGTTGCGACAAATCAAGAAATAAATTTCAGAAAAGGGAAATTATAAATGTTTACCTCGACAATCTCATTAAACATCTTGCAATACTCGGCGTCACCGACTACATCCTCGTTTAACCTCAAAACCACTTTGATCACCTCGGAAAACTGTTCGACGCTCTCAGGTCGGTCCACGTCGATGTGACAATGAGAATTCCTTGACAGAACGTTCTGGGCGAGCTCGTTGAAAACATTCTGTTGTATGGTACAGGAAAGGAAGGAAGATGATGATGATGGTCGTGTAATCGGGATGTGGAGTATGTGTTTCTCCCATGCCTTGCATTATACGAAGACGCATACACCTACCACATTCCGCGTGATGCCAATCACCGAAATAGGACAATTTTTACTTGTGGCGATATTAAATATGTTATATACGAAAGATTGACTGCAGTGTTTTGCGAATGCGTCGAAGTTATAAATTATCAAGAATATAGATTTGTTGCCGCTGGTTCCGGACTTTAACAAATTGTATGCGTCTCCATCCGACTTCTACGTTGAAATAGAACAATTATGGTCTAATATCAATAAAAATCAAATCAACGCTCTGGCGCCATCCTCCCTTCGCCACCACTTACAAAATTCTTGATCTGCTGTCCAAGTTGAAGAGCGATTTGCTGGCGCACCATCAGATCGGATGTATGAAATAATCCGTTCACATACACACACACAAAATCATCCCCGTGGATTCCTTCCAAGGACCTTAATGCCTTTTTGAGTAACTTCAGATCCCAAATTGTCGCGCATTATCAATAACCACACAATCTACACACGTGACTAAAACGCGAGTTGAACTGTGAACTTTGTACCATAGTTTTTCCACAACCGGAAGGTCCGATGAGTATACAAGTGTTGCTCTCTCCCAATGAAACATTTCGATTCAGAAGGTCAAAAAATTCTCTGAAAATTGTTGTACCGATTTTGGTTCTTATGAATTTATGTCACGCTTCCTCCACTCCACAGATTCAGTTACGCGTTCGTTAAACCTACCCATACTGTTCCTCCAGGCCCACTAACACCTCCGGTATAGCGTGTCCCGACAACCTTTCCTTAAGAACTTTACGTGTTTTCTCTATCACGTCAGCCGAAAAAGTTCCTTCTCGTTCGTCCATAACGATATCTGTGTCGTCGGTTTGTCGGAAAATCTTTCTGAACCTTGTAAGTAGTGTATCCATCGTCGGTCGTTGAACATTTCCATCCGAGTGGGTCAAGTGACGTTGTTGATGATGAGATGCCGATTGACAATCCAATAACTGTTCATGCCGACACGTGAAATAATTTAATATACAGTACAATAAAACCTCCAAGTGCAACGTTTCTTGTTAAGCTAGTTATACTGTATATATAGTATATACAGTTGTCTCAATTACAGTATACAGTATGTTTTATTTATTTATTTTTTTTTTGCAATATCTGTTAGTATTATAAGCAATAAAAGTTTTTAAGTTTGACCTTGAAAATAATATATATATTTTTTTCTATTCTATATATTATAGTTAGCAAGTTGTTACTATTATATATTTTATCAAGTTATTAAAATAAACTACAAAAAAAGTTGAGTTAAAAAAAAATGAAGAGATATTTAAAAATATAAGAAAAAGAAAAAAAAAAATAAATAAAAATTATTAAAAATTTATTTTTTAAAATCTTTTCTTAATAAGAAATAATTTATTAAGATATCATAATTTAATTTTCTAATACTAATTGAAAAAAAAATATTTAATATATAGTTACTCATATAATATTCAACAAAAAATGAACAATTTGGTAAAAAAATGATATAAATAAATTAACAACTATATAATTCAATTATAAATATTACAAAAATTGACATATATATAATTTATTAACAATTCGTCAAAAAATTTATCAACAATTTATCAAATAATTCATTAAATATTTAGTAAAAATTCATTAACAATTCAATAAAAGTTTATCACAAAATTATTTATTAGTAAAAAAAATTTTTCAACATTAATTTAT